TCTTGTCCTTTCCCGTGTCGGCTTTGGACATTGCCGTATGATTTATTGGAGCTAAATTGGGTGAGGGCTACAACAACAAAAAAGGAACTTTAGATATGGAGAGGCATCTATAGGGATAGAAGTTACAATAAGACTTCAAACCTTGTTCCTTGGCTAGCTTTTGACTCATTTGGAAAGAGTGGACATGAGAGCTTTTGTGGGTATTTTTGACTTAGGGTTACCTGATCTATACTTACAAGGATTTTGGAGACCTCTTTGATATCTTACTTAAAGATATTTTTGTACATACACCGCATCTCTTTGGTGCATATGAATATAAATCTTTTTCTTTAAAAAAAGAATTTTAATTTTGAGAATGCTTATGTTAGATTTAGTTAAGGGTAGGGAATGGGAGAATGCTTATTTTTTCTTTAAAAAAGGAATTTTGATTTTTGTCATTGCATCATCAAAAAACATGGTGGTTGCGGAGACTCATACTGATGGGAATAGGAGCAGAGGGTGGAATGTGAATGTTGCAAGGTATCTTAATGATTGGGATTAAAGAGGATGAAGTCTTGCTATTTCTTTTATCCCGGTTAAGTTAAATAGCAACAGGGATCAGATGGTGTTGAATTTGAAGAAACAAAGGGGAATTTACTGTCAAGTTATTTTTCAAGTGTCTAACTAAGAGGGAAGGGATGGGATGGTACACTTTCCGGTTAACTAGAAATAGAAGCTGAATGCCCTCCATAAGAATTGCTTTCTTCACGGGGGAAAGCGGATAGAGAATGCATCCTGACTATTGATAAACTAATGCGAAAAGGCAAAATTTTGGTTAGTTGCTGCTATTTATGCAACATGGTTGTGGAATTTTGCAACGACATCCTTTTCTAATGCTTGATGGTGTATAGTATTTGGTCTATGGTGTATGGTCTTCTAAGGATTAATTAGGTGATTGCGAGAGCGGTGAGGGATGAACTTTGGGCCTGGGTGAGGATATGTAAAAAGAAAACTTATCTTTATCTTATTCCTGCATCTAGTTTTTGGATGATTTGGAAAGAAAAGAATGCTAGAGCTTTAAAGAGGATTGAAGGGAAGATTGTTAATATTAGGGATAAATAGATGCATGTTTTTTGTTTTTTGATTCTGGGTTATGACTTTTATAATATGAAAAATTTTAGGAATGTCATTGATCCACTAATAGACTTGTAAATATCTTATACATGATTGGTACTCCCTTGATACAATTGTTTATATTTATACTATATTCTTTTTATCTCAAAAAAAATGTTAGAGTTAATTGGGTTCTTTTTTTTGAATAAGGTTATGAGGAGGAAGGGCTTTGGGGCAACTCTTGGTTATTATTTTTGGTGAGTCCAAATCACGATTTAAAGGTCAACCTGGGATTAGGCTTTTGTTAGTTGTGTCTGTCTTTATGGCTTAGGGTGGTTAGCATCAAGTTATGGACCACCAGAACAGTCAATACATGGAAATGTGTTCTTCCATTTTCCATAGATAGCAAGGTATATGCTTTATTTTCCACTTGTGTGGGCTAGAGCAAGGGACATGTCTGGTTTTCTCTTTTGTGCAAACTCTGGATGGGGTTCACCTCTTTCGTCTCTTTTTCTTCGTCTACATAGGTTATCTACTAGAGATAGTTCTCCATTTAATTTCTTTTTGTCCCTTCATGATAATCGTATATCCTTGAATTTTCACTTATTAAGAAATGTCTATACTGAGAAACTTGTCATTTTTTATGCTGGACTTTTTTTCCCCCTTATTCTTGGTTGTGATTTATGAACCGGGTTCCGTGATTCCTTAGGATCTTATATGTGTAAGTCTCTACTTGATCGCCTCACTCAAAGTCGTCGTCATCATCCAGCTATTTTTCCTCTATTTTTCTCGAGAGTGAAAGCTTCTTTTCTTTAACTGTGCAAAACAGTGTTTAAAAGAATGAGGACTAACAATATGGTTCAGGTTTAAAGATTCGACATTGTTGTTTCCCATAATAAGTGTGCTTCATGTGTATTCAGAGGAGGAGAACAAACGCCAAGTGGTTTGTTTTTTGGAAGACCCATATTT